CACACACACAACACACACAACACACACAAACACACAAACACACAAACACACAAAACACACAAACACACAAACACACAAAACACACAAACACACAAACACACAAACACACAAACACACAAACACACAAACACACAAACACACAAACACACAAACACACAAACGCACAAACGCACAAACGCACAAACACACAAACGCACAAACACACAAACACACAAACACACAAACACACAAACACACAAACACACACACACACACACGCACACGCACACACACGCACACGCACACACACACACGCACGCACACACACACACGCACACACACACACACGTTTTTCGTCAGACGTCCACTGGCCAATGGCCAAAGAGCTCGTCATTGCCCAGGCGGCCCCCATGCTGACGAGGTCCTGACCGAGTCCCAAGGGGGCAACTGCGCTTCACGAGAGCCTTCGGGGGCGCGGCCCCGGACAGACGAGCGGGCACGCGTCCGCAAGGGCCGAAGGGCCCCCCGCCCCCCCCCGAGCGGACCGCAGGACCCCAAACACCCGAGAGCCCGGGGGGGCACAACGAGGCTGCGAGGTTCACGTCAAGCGTCCACTCGGCTATAGTCAGATAGCCCATTCGTATTTAAGCCGCCCCTCCCCCCGCCCCGTGCGGACGAGTTCCAGGCTGAGTCCCGCGCGTGCAGCTGCGCCTCACGAGGGCCTTCGGGGGCGCGGCCACAGACAGACGCTCGAGCACGCGTCCGCAAGGGCCGAAAGCCCCCCCCCCCCCCGCCTCGGGCAGCGGACCGCAGGACTCAAAACATCCGAGAGCCAGGGGGGTCACTACGCAAGTCCACCCCCCGGCTCGTAGCCCGAAAAGGCCGCCTGTTAAGCCGAGTTCCCACTGTTTCTGGCCCCGTAGGGCCAGGCCAGACGGACAAGTCAGGTAGTTGCAAGCTGGGTCCAACATTCAATTTGCTCTCGAGCGATGGAACAATGAGGATGCACATCGGTTTGCGGAAGGCCTGTGAGAAAGTTGCAGGCAAGCGCGGCTGGCGATAGGTGTCGACTGTTTTGCACTCGCTGATCAGATCAGTTACTACGCTCGCTCATGGCCGAGAGAAGGCGTGCAAGACGCCGTGCCCGTGCTGGACACTGCTCGCCTGCGCGTCCTCGGCATGGGCGCGCGCGAGGTCGGCCACTGCGCCCTTCGCGTAGATGCGGGACGTTGCCTAATTAGTCTCTGCGTAGCCCGCTTGGACCTGACTCGCCGCTGGCGCGCTCGCCCGCGGCCGCTGACTAAAAAGTAGATGCGGGATGTCAAGCTGCTGGACCACTTCCGTGCTCCTGGTGCGCAGGAGGCACAGTGGAGGCCGATCCCCAAGAAACTTCCCACGAGAAGCCCAACCCTGAGACCCCAGGGCGTCCATTGATATTTGGTGTGGGAACGCCGCGCTATCCATTGCAAAACCACCGAAACCCAAGAAACCAAGGGCACCCTGGAAACTAGCAGGATGCTTCTTGGCTTGGGCTTCCACTGTACTCGATGGCGCCACCACAGCGGGAGCTGCGCCAGCTGAGCGGGCACACGAAGCCGAGGCTTTCCATGAGAGCTCGCAGGGCCGTGCGCAGCTGGCGCGGGAACCCGCCGCGAGGCGCTCAGCTGGGAAACCCAGCCATCGTCGTCCGCAGCAGCTGCAGCGCGATGGGCGACCTGTTCGCCGCCGCTTCGGCCGCGCCGCGCCCCGCCGTAGTCTTGGACGGTGGCGATGCGGATGGTGCCGTGGGTCCCGCGAATGGCGACGTCCTCGCCGCGCAGGGCGAAGGCCTCGCCACGCGGAGCAGGCCCTCTGGGGGCCACCATGAGGAGGCACGCGATGTCGGCGCAGCCTGCCTCGGCGCGGAAGCCTGCCATGGCGTCGACGATCTCGGGCGTGGAGGGCAGCGCCCGGGCCGCAGGCTCACGCGTACATCGCGTCTTCAGCGGCGCCCAGCTCAGGTCCAACTCAGGCCGTAGGCGCGGGCTGAAGACGCACGCTCCAGCCAATATTGTTGGCCCGCCGCGCTGTCTGAGCCATCCGCCCACATGGCCTCCAAATAGCCAGCCGCCAGCGCGTCGGCATCCTCGCCATCCTCGCCGAGCGCTTCGAAGCCTGCCTCGGGCGCGCCGCTGCGCCCTAGCGGGCGGCCGACCGCGCAGAGGTAGCGATGCCTCGTCGCAGCGCCCACTCGGAAGGGGGCGAGGACCTGGCCGCGAGCCATGCCGCAACTTCCGCGACGGTTCGCCCGCGGGGTTGTCCACGGACACCACGTAGCCGACGATCGGGCGCATGTCCGCCGCGACCGTGGCCGCGGCTCGCCTGCGCGGGGCGGGCTGGAGCCGTCGGCTGCTGCTCCTGCCCTTCGTGGTGATGGCCGCGACCGCCTGGCTGTCCACGAGGTGCAGCCGCCGGCTGGAGCGTCGGCGCGCCTTGCGGGCCCTCCATCTGAGCGCTGCGCGTGCCGCCGGGCAGCTCGCGCGCGTTGATATGGGCGGTCTGGTCCATCGGCCGCGCCATGCTCATGACCGCGCGCCAGCGCCGCGCGAAACGGGCCCGGGCTCGAACGCGGCCGCCCGCGAGGCCTGTAGGGCAGGCCGCAGTCCAGCCGCGCGCCGCTGCCACGTCTCGGGCTTCTACAGCCCGCTCTCGTAGCGCCCGATGTCGTCCCCGGACGGACTGCGCCGGCCGACGCGCGCCAGTCCTGCACTGCCGGCGGCATGCTCGGCGCGCCCACCTCGACCAGCAACGCCTGCGCCATCCATGCCGCGGCGTGGGTGCTGGAGCTGTTCCCGAGGAGGAAGGCCCGCGCGTCGGAGCTGTCCTGTTTGTTCGAGCCTTTCGCGGCCGCGGAGGCGTGGCCCACGTCTGGGCCCAGCATCCTCGCGCGCTCGGCGCAGGAAGGCAGGCGAGGAACTTTGCTCTGGCCCGCATCGCGCAGCATGGCTCTCTCTCCTGATACAGCGCCACATGGTATCGGAAAGAATCGGCCCCCCAGCGCGCCCTCGCGGCCGCTGAGACCTGCTGCAGGCCCTTCGGCGCTGAAGGGATCCGCGCCTGCGGCTCGCGGCGTGCAAGCGTAGGGCGCAGGCCAGGAGCGCCCGACCACTCGGCGCCGTCGCCCCACTAGTCCAGGTCGTATAACGGCGGTCCAGAAGCGACGACCTCGCGGAAGCCGCCCCTCTTCAATCCCTGCCAGCGGGGCCGTGACGTGAAGCTTCCAGTTGGCAGTTGGGCCAGTGCAGCCTCCGCCGACGGCAGGGTGCCAACAGGGACAAGCACGCGCTGTAAAGTTCAATTGCAAGGGCCTCGCGCATGGCCAGCCTGTGTGGTCCGTCGTCGTGCTCGTTGCGTTCTCGACGAACCGCCCCAGCTCGCGGCCGAAGACCGCTCGGAGGAGGTCCAGCCACCGCGGCGCCTCGAATCACACGCTGGACTTCGCGCCGCCCAGGCCTGCGCGCGCCGCGTTCAGCCCCGCG